TATTGCTATGAATACAAGACTCGCTTTCGTTTTCTGGTTATCATCACAAAAAACTAGACAACATTTAAACGTTTAAATCCTAAACAATTGGCCAAAAGTTTTAGTGTAAATATTTATTAATTCAAATTAGATGAAGCCCTGCATTCATTTTGCTAATCAAATAAACTATCAGTTAATATGTATAATATTATTACCATTTTCTCGGTTAAGATTCCGCTTTATTTGTATTTCCCTTTTCAAGTGATATTCTTTCTGTAATTGCATAACAAATACCACTAATTTAACGAATGCTTGTATTTACTGTTAACTGAAATCTTTACAAAAATAAATTAATCAAATATTGCATAACCAAGATACTTTGTTGTGTAATCAAAAATCTTTTTATGCATAATCTTATTGTATTACACCGTATACTACAGTATATTTAGTACATTTTGTATATAATATAAAATATCTTGTTTTAGATATTTTGTTCAGTATTTAATAATTTAGTAGTTATTAATTTTGTATATCTTTAGTAATTTATTTATAATTTAATTCTGAAATGTAATCTCTATGACAAAATTTTTCATTAATAAGTCATATTCTTGTAAGTAAACTAAATGTGGACAAAAATATAATTTGTCATAAATTAAATATAAATAACCGGAATTAATTATAATCTGGAAATAAATAAGTTATTTTTGACGAGTTGTGAGACCACGCAATGGCAACGTATCCTAACTTATACTGAAAGCAAACACAAATCAAATTCATTTCCCAATACAGTGTCAAACCGATCACTTGTAACAGAATATCACTTTAAGTACACAATTGCCACAAAATTGATCAGTAATTCTGTGACCAAAAGTGGATATTAAAAGTCAGTCCAAAAAATACTACTCCAATAGAAAGTTGTCCTCATTTTTCTTGCGGCTCTAAAATGATACGATATTTAACACATGAAATACTTTTCAGCTATAATTTGTCACCAAAAAATCGTATTTCTTTTTTATGTTTTGAAATAAATACTTGTTTTAATCAACTTTTAATTCTAAAGACAAAAATACTTTTTCTCATTAAATATCTATTTTAGAAAAAATAATGAGACGTTTATTTAGTTTAGTTGATATTAAGCCGTAAACAGCTTTAGTATTAATACCACTGAAAACCCATTGTTTTTGAGTATAAAATTGCAAAACAAAAGATTAAAAATATAATTTCTCGCATCAAATACCGAGAATTCATAATTCATTTAATTATTCCTTAATTAATATATAAAATACGTACAAAAAATTGGTCGTAAAAACAAAATTTATTGATTTATAAGCCAAAAATGTTAACGAATTTGCTTAATGTTTGTAAAGATTTGCATATTATTAAAATACAGGTATTATAACATTGCATCAGTTTTTTGTAATTATTTTATTTAAACAAATTCTTTGTGTATTTGCAGAAAATTATAAGTTTTTGTAATATCAATAAAATAGGCAAAAACTAATTTATAGTTAATGTTTTAATAAATTTATTAAAATTAATTCAAGTTTTCTGTAATGTATCTAAAAATATATTAAATGTATTCAGAATTCTTATTAATGAAATAATTTGGTTAAAATAGGCAAAAACTAATTTATAGTTAATGTTTTAATAAATTTATTAAAATTAATTCAAGTTTTCTGTAATGTATCTAAAAATATATTAAATGTATTCAGAATTCTTATTAATGAAATAATTTGGGATTTATATGTATTGAGTCGTTGAATACACTTATTCTCTATTCATTTGCAGTGCTTTGAAATCGCAATAAATATATTCATTTGAAGATAAATATATTTCATTGTAATTGTATTACAATCACAACAAAATCTCAAATGAATAGATCCTTAATATAAATGAAAATTTGCTTTTTTCTAATTTAGTAAATGAATGATAGAATCAATGTTTGGTTTCATCGAAACTTATATTCTCTATAATACGAGTAAATGAAAAAATGCATCAAAAACTCATCGAAAATTCTCATTTATAATACATTTTCTATTCAATCCGTTTTAATACTATAAAGATATTAAAGGATATTCTCTATAATATCCTAAATAATGAAAATTTTATGCCTTAAGAAACTACTACTGCTCTACAGGAAGAGTCAGAATTCACTTTGCAAAGGGAAGGCCAGATATGATTAACTGTGGATTAACTGTGGATTAACTGTATGTTCAAACATTTTCATCACATTTTATGTCATTTATTCAATTCAATTAAATTTTAAGAAATAAAAATAATATATTTCTAGATTGTATTTAAAGACAATTGTTTTGCTATTAATATATTATAATTGTATTAAATAAAGACATACAAAGAGCTATCATGTCATAGATGTGTGCAAATTTAAAAAACACTAAATGATACATATTTTTGGTCAGATTTTCTCACTTTTACACTAAAAATGACATAAAATAAAAATAAGGAATTGTTATAAAAGAGTGCAGAATATAAGCAATTGAAGTGCAAAAGGAATAATACATTGAAATGAATTGAAACTAACGTTAAGTGAGTTTGCATTGACTGACAAGAGATGTCTCGCCTTTTCATTCACTCATTCAATGGTTTGAATTATTTTGCAAATCATTGTATGATTTGATGCGATATAGCGTTAGACAACTCAAGACGTGAACACTTCCTGCGGTGACCAACAAATCAACCACAAAATGAGCGATCATTTGGGGAAAGATATGCGAAAAGTGAAGAAAGACGACAACGAAGAGGAGGACAAAGAAAAGGATATCAAAAGTGAGTGATATATGAGTTGTGTTTTATTGGACAACAAACTAATGGTAACTGTTTTTGATGGTCACAGCTCTGGACGAGGCGGACATCGCTCTACTCAAGACATACGTGAGTCTCGATTGCATTGATTGCTACGATGAGTGGTAACTGATATGTTGTTGGGGTTAGGGTTCGGGTCAATACAGTCGGTCCATCAAGAAAGTGGAGGACGAGATCCAATCGATTCTGAAGCGAGTGAATGAGTTGACGGGCATCAAGGAGTCGGACACAGGTCTGGCGCCGCCCGCCCTCTGGGACTTGGCTGCGGACAAACAGACGCTTCAGAACGAACAGCCCCTTCAGGTCGCGAGATGTACTAAAATCATTACCGCCGACAACGAGGACTCCAAATACATCATAAATGTGAAACAGTTCGCGAAGTTTGTGGTGGATTTGGCCGACACTGTGGCCCCCACTGACATCGAGGAAGGCATGCGAGTGGGCGTCGATCGCAACAAATACCAGATCCACATCCCATTGCCGCCCAAAATTGATCCGACGGTGACTATGATGCAGGTCGAGGACAAACCAGACGTCACTTACAGTGATGTCGGCGGCTGTAAAGAGCAGATCGAGAAGTTGAGAGAAGTGGTCGAAACACCACTCCTTCACGTAATTTAAGCCAAACATTTGACACGTATTTGTGTTAACCGTCTCTTTTGATTGATTGATAGCCCGAACGGTTCGTTAAGTTGGGAATAGAGCCGCCGAAAGGTGTCCTTCTGTTCGGTCCTCCGGGAACCGGAAAGACTCTGTGCGCGCGCGCCGTCGCCAACAGGACTGACGCTTGTTTTATAAGAGTTATCGGCTCTGAATTGGTCCAGAAATATGTCGGAGAGGTATTGAAAATGTAGATAATGTTGTCATTTGCACAGTAAATGAATGATGTGTTTGACTCTGACCTAAAGGGCGCCCGAATGGTGAGAGAGCTGTTTGAATTGGCCCGCAATAAGAAGGCGTGTCTAATATTCTTCGACGAGATCGACGCCATCGGTGGCGCCCGCTTTGATGACGGGGCCGGCGGTGACAATGAAGTGCAGCGAACAATGCTTGAGCTCATCAACCAATTGGATGGTTTCGATCCGCGCGGAAACATCAAAGTATTGATGGCCACTAATAGACCCGATATATTAGATCCGGCGCTTATGAGACCGGGACGGCTCGATCGTAAAGTGGAGTTTGGTTTACCAGATCTGGAAGTAAGTGATTAGCAATGGTTTGAATGATGATTACGAGACTAACAAATGATGTGCTAAATTGTAGGGCAGATCTCATATTTTCAAAATCCACGCGCGATCCATGAGTGTTGAGAGGGATATCCGGTTTGAATTGTTGGCCCGATTGTGTCCCAACAGTACCGGCGCTGAAATCCGGAGCGTCTGCACCGAAGCGGGAATGTTTGCCATCAGAGCGCGCAGGAAAGTGGCCACAGAGAAGGACTTTCTCGAGGCCATCAACAAAGTCATCAAATCTTACGCTAAATTCAGTTCTACTCCGCGTTATATGACTTATAACTAATTGACTAGTTTTGGGTTCATTTTTATATTTATTTTAATATCAATAAAAAACATTTTCTGTCAAAATTTAGAGAAATAACAAAAACTTTAATAAAATTGATATAAAAACAAGAATTAATCAATCATTTAGCGGCTCTTATTCTCTGTATTTTATTCTTATGGTTAGCGGAAGTCTTGGCGAAAGAACTGGCATTTATTCTGAGGGACTGGTCTTTTCCGGTTAAGTATATGTTGTTCACGATATGAGAAATGCCTAGACTTTTGACACACAATGGTTTCGATGGATTCGGTCGTGTTTTAGCGTTGATTGCGATATAAAAGGCAAAGCAATAGCCAGTCATGAAGGCGTCATAACCCGCTCTGTGAACGCCTTGTTTTGAATGTTTGGTATTCACCGATTCAATAGACGAGTTGTCGCCACCACTTGTGCTCTCAATTCTTAGTTCTTCGCTTTTCTTCTTCATATTTTTAATCAATTTTTTCATTCGTTTACTTCTATTCTTCTTCTGATCCAATATATGGTCGATATTATGAGAGCGACTGCAGGTATGGTTCAGTTTACACCAGCCGTGGTTCTAACCATTCATACAAATGTTATGCATTAACAACACATTGAAATGAATGCATTAATAATATAAATACCGCGTAATCATAGCATATGTCTACTATTAGATCAGATTCTGATAAGATTTTGGTCGACAAGTCCTTGAATTCAATATCGGATGAGATGTGATGAGAAAGTGATGGAAAGGTTATATCAATGCTAATCTGGCCTTTCATTGAGCGCTCGATATTAAAGCGTTGTCTGAATATAAGTGGAAAGAAGAAAAAAAGTTGAGTGCATTTTGGAGTGCAGAATATGATTAGCCTTTAATACCTCTCATAAAACAAATATTCCAAATAAGATCTGTTAAGCCTGTCGTGAAAGTCGGCGATATATTTAGTGTCGAAAATTCCTGCGGGAAATAATTCAACCAAATCTGCTATAAATGTCTGCAAATCTTGCGGTAAATCAGAATAAAAGTTTTGATATAAAAATATCAAATCAATGAATCCGTTGTGCAAAACAATTGGCAATTTGTGTCTTATTATCTCCGCAATCAAATTCCTGAGCGATGGTGTCGTCAAGTCTTCGTATTCCGTCTGAAATGTATTGATTAAATATCTTTCAATTATTTCATTCATTTCTTATCAAAAGACAGACTGAATGACAGTTTGTATTGAATTCAAAGAATTGGGTCAAAACAGCGAGAGTTTGTTCAACTAGTGATTCATTTGCGGATTTATTATAGGAATTGATTGACTCTTATATCATATTCTTTACATACAAAGTATAAGTGAGACAAACAAATAAAATAATCAAATGAAATATTAAACAAAAACACTAAACAAACATAAAAGTCAATCAATTGTTCCTAACATCAGATAAAGAAGACATTAAAATGACGAAAACGGAACTCAAGTATCAATATTAAGCTCAGGCATCGAATACAGCACAGGCTTTAAGAGATCTACAGGGTGTGGCATCCATTTCTAACACTTTTTCACATTAATTCAATGTTCAATGGACAATTTCAGTCAAAAATTACAAAATTGTCGCTTAAATAGAAAACATTTTAATAAAACTAATTTTTATTGTCAAAACATAAAATATAGTTCGTGCATGTATTTCAATACAAGATTTTTTTAAATTCGCATTACAAATAGCTATTCTACATAAATTCTAACAATATGATCTGACATTAGCTATTTATGCCCGCCAACATTCACAGTTAAGATCTAAGCCATCATAGACAATAAATTGTGCCAAAATATACTTCAAATTAGTGGACTTTTAATATAGTATGTGATTGTTTATTAAATGTATTTCAATTTCTTATAAATTACAATTAAAACATTTATGAACAAAAGTGTCAGAAATGGCTAACAAGCCCTGTATTTTTAGATGTATTATTGAAAATGCTGTCTCTAATGAGAAAATGATTACAAATTAGCATTAATTATCATTAGTAGAGTCGATGTTAACCACAAACTCATGATAACCTTATTTATATTCCTAAACACAAAACAAAAACTTTATTTCATTAATTAATAAATAAATGAAAAACATTTGCAGAATTCGAGAAAAAGTTTTTCAATAATAAATCACATAATAAAAGATAATAAGAAATGTACGGAAAAAGCAAAAAACTTTCTCTCAGTTCGTAATCAGTTCCCAAAACGTGACTTTTTTTTAATGCTTTTGGCAATAAATTCAACGAAAATTCCTAATCGTATTAAGTATTTGCAAGCATTCCGTCAATCGATTACTACTTTGTTTTTTGTTAAAAATACCATTTTATATAAAATTCATATTTAATTGTTTAGTGCTTTTTAGGAGACGTTTTTATCAAAAAAATAAAATAATTTAATTTAAATAGAAAATCATTGAAAATTACATTAAGACTGATATAGAAAGCAAAGCATCTTTGAGTTGCCATAAAAATCAATGAAAACAATTAGTATTCTGTGTTTGCTTTCCTATAGATCTTGTTATCAGTAATTTTGAAGTTATTTCAAAAAACGTTATCCAATTGAGGCAAAAGTCGCATAAAACTCGTCAATTAATTACTATTTTTACTAATTATCACTCAAAGCATATCTGAAGTGTGGATTCATTTGTTTACACATTAACCGTAAAATAGCAATTAAATTAGATATAAATGCAATGCAAACAAAGCCATTGTAAACCAATATTACATATCAAACAATACTTAATTGTTTGACAAACAATGTGTTCAAATCAGACTATATAATCATTTATAATAAAACCCTAATTAATTAATTAGTACTAAAATAAACACTTAATCTCTTTATGTCTGTTAATAATAAAAACTTAAGTCATAAAAGAAATTCAAATTAATGGTAATAAATACGAGAAACTGTTGAAAATAACTACAAATAAGTAAACGCAATGCAAGAGAGAGATCAATTGCGATACGAATAGTAGCGAAAGGACTATAAATTCAGACAATTTGAATGAGTGTTTGAGTGATAGCGTGGAAAACGTGAATAAATTTGAAGCACTTCTCGACCCACAACTGATGGCTATCGATTAGGAATTTTCGTTGAATTTATTGCCAAAAGCATTAAAAAAAAGTCACGTTTTGGGAACTGATTACGAACTGAGAGAGAGAGAGAGAGAGAGAGAGAGAATACTGACATCATTTCCCCTGTGATAAGACAATCCGTGCAGACACTGGCCATTGAAATCGAAACCGTGTCCGGCGAGGAATCGCATGGTTTCGGGTTCGCAGACATATTCTTCTTCGCAAAGACACAAAGCGTTGAACACTTGAGCACTGATTTTCCACTGTTTATCACTACTATCTACACAACCATTGGATTCGTTCTCCAATTTAGCCATCAGTTGTGGGTCGAGAAGTGCTTCAAATTTATTCACGTTTTCCACGCTATCACTCAAACACTCATTCAAATTGTCTGAATTTATAGTCCTTTCGCTACTATTCGTATCGCAATTGATCTCCGAATTAGTATTAATAGTCGTTTCGTTCACATCATTATCACAAAAGTTAAAGAAAGCCAAACCAATGGACAAAACGGCTCGGCTTTTGGCGGCGGAGACCACGCCTTCGTATCGGTCGTCAATTTGCCTGAAAATGCATATCAAATGTCATACAAATTGTGGTCAATTGTCGTAAAAATGTAATAACAAATAAAAGGATGTATTACTTGGCGTTGAGTCGATCTCTGGGTCCCAAACCACTCAACTCCTAAACCGATGGCAACAAAAAGATATCAATTCAATGAAATGTCAATTGTATTGCAATTGAATGCATGTCTTACGAGGTCTACGGCCACGAAGTGTGAGTCGCGGACACATGTCATGACTCGTGGCCACCAATTGGACACATTGTTGGCAGTGATGTGTCCGCACGGGACGAGTGACAGAGAGTGGTTGTCCCGCAGGACCGGCACTTCCCTCTCCATCGACACCTGAAGGCAAACCAAATGACAAACACGTGTTAACACGGGTTAAGCGTAATATTGGCTAACATTTGGTCTTCAATTGAAAACCCAAACAAAACATTGAAAACAAATGCAATGATTCGAAGCGAGCGGTGATTGTGTGGCCAATAGGGAGACAGTGTTTATGGCTTTAAAAGCTGTGGACCAATGGCTGTGTGTTTGCGTCCATTTAAATATGCCATCCATTGAGCCATTGATAGAGAATGAATGGATTGACTGAACGATTGAATGAGTGTTGCATTCATTGATTGAGTGATTGGTTTACTGTTGTGTTTGTGTTGACAATAATTGGATTGCATTTGCATTAATGTTATAACAATTAGCGTTGGATTACATGAGTATTATTAGCCTCGATGTCAACACAATTCAAACCACACAACAATCCATAACATTATTATTCACTATTTATTAGTTCATTATTAGTTATATCTCATTTCATATACACTTATATTTGTAAATATACTTCACGTTTAGTTTTAGTCACAATTAATAACTAATAAATAGTAATAATATTTTGTAAATAATAACATAATATGAATAAGAATTACGAGAAGAGACTTTTGCGGACATTAAACCCATTGAACCAACAATTGGCTAATGATTTGCAGCCAAACGACTCAAACATAACGCCATTGAATTCGGTATTGAATTTGTGACCAAATGTTATTTGAATTGAATTTATTGTCTCATTGTTTTCGCTATTCATTACAGCCATTAAGAAGTCATGGCTTG